TGCAACAATTCAAAAAAAAAATTTTTTTCGCCCAAAAAAAAAAAAAAAAAAAAAGAAGAGTCAAACGCTCGGTCGACGATTGAAAAGTCTCGTCGCGAGCGCGTCCAGGTTGACGGCTGAAGGTTTTAGGCGGCTTTATCTCGGGGAGATCGCGTTGGAGAGCCGCGAATTGACACGCGGCGACGTCTTGACAGCTTGTTAGGCCAACAGTTTACCCTCGCGCACCCTGCGCACCCATTCGCTTTCCCCTCCTTTACCCCACTTTCAAGCGGATTAAATTAATCTTATGCGGATATATCGCCCTCCCCCCCCCCTCTCTCACAACCCTATTTGATAAATCATCGCGCTCTCGATCGATCGATTTGCATCGGTCAAGTGCAAAAGTGCCGCTGAATCGTATACTATATAGATTAAGGTACTTTTGCCTACATGTTACACATTCACGAGGCTATACATTCCGGGCTACATCGATAGCCGAACCCCGGTGACTGAAAATAATGAAAGTAATGGGAACACGCCCACTGCATTTAGCCCGCCGAACTAAAGCGCGCCCGTACCCCCTTGTCGCCGTATCAACCCCTTCCATACGTAGGATCCCATACTGCGTGTGTATGCCGGCTCTCGTCGGCGCCTTGTTCGCTCTCCTGACGCTTTCTCTCTCCTCGTCCTCTACACTCTCTATATTGGCCATTGTACCTGCCACTTCATTGTCCTTTATTTCATTATTTTCGCCGCATTCCTCTCCCGTCCCCCACGACGGGCGCGCGAATTCTCCCCCTTTATTTACGCACTGTAATAATAGACGTCTTAACAGAATCTAATAAACGTCATAAATGGCCCCCGTGATCTCATTAGTTTACAAGCTTACCTGGCTAGTCGACCGGCGCCTTTCTTCCTCTCCAAATAACGCGATAGTATCTTCCTGCCTGCCGCGCATCAAAGGCCGACTTCTCCCTCTCGCCCGCGCGTTTATTCTCAAAGCATCAGCAGCACGCGGGCGCACGCGTTTCATTTGCGAAAGTAATCACGACGAGCCAATCGGACGCATCGCATTTCGAAGAAATACATTTTCTTCCAAAGTCCTCAAAAAGCTACGCAGAAAATATCAGTATAAACGTCGATGTGTAAACTCGTTCTTCCTCTTTCTCCCTCCATTTGTTGAGAATGAATATCGCGCATGGATCGTCGTCGTCGTCGTCGAGGCCATGGTTCCGATGCGCGCATCTATATCCGATGTATATCCGAGAATGTAGCCTGTGATTTCGTCCCGATAACACGATTACGATATCCTCTCCTCCTCGTCCTCTTTCCGCATCCCCTTCCCCGCGCGCGAGAAGGGAAACGCGGTGAGGGGTGTGGGATAAGAGAAGGGGGCGGGGGAGGAAAGCGCGGTACCGGCGCCACCCTCTCTCACTCTCTCTATACGCATCCCGCTGTCCCCGACAGCCGAGAGAGTAGCTTCGCTCGCTCTGATCCCTCGCAATTACTTCCCATTATCTGGGTATTAGGATTCACCCCAACTGGAAGCACGACGTGCCCCTATGCCGCTTATACAACGAGACATGTCGCGCGCGCGCTCGTTGGAAAATCCTACCATCCGCGCTCCGCTGCAATATTGTAGCTTTTCTTAACAGGTGTACCTGCTCTCCGATCTAATGTCCCGGCAACAGGTAGCAAAAACAGGACGCGATCGTTATTATCGCGGTAATTGTAATGAATCGCATGAAATTACGCGGGATGTCTCTGAAAGATCTGACAGCTGATATCGAGGATAAAAATTATTCATACGGACGTGTAGCTGAGAAAGCTTTCGAGTTGTAAGAAGGTGTTTTAAGATATTGATGATAAATCTTCGAGAATTTATCTGTTACCGAAATAATTATTTATATGAATTTTCTACGTCAAAACAAATGTTCAAAATGGTCTCCTGAAACAACAATACACGTCTTAAAACGTCTTACGATGGAACGTCGAACATAATCTTCTTAAAACTTGTATACATACCATCCTTGTATCTGATGCGCGAGTTTTCCGAAATTATATTATACATAGATTTTAAACAATTTCCATTTTGAACACTTGATTGATGCAAAATTCATTTAATATAAAATATGCGATAATTATTTTAATGGAAGATAAATTCTTGAAAATTTATTATCAATTCATAAATTCACATAAAAAATAAATTTGCGACGAATATTTTAATAAAAGATAAATTTCCGAAAATTTATTTCTCAAGTTGGCTCTTCAATCTTTCAGAAACACACTATATATGGCACGATAGTCAAATTCATTAATTATTCTCGATTGCCGTTGTAATTATGGCACATGAGTCTCAACGTCACTTTCTCTAATGAGGCAAATAGGATCCACACTCGCGGTCCCCTTTGTTTCCTCTTATTCATCGGCTCGTTAACTTTCGCGAAAATGTCCCGAGGAGACACCGAAATGTCGCGTCGATTAACGAAACGATTACGTAGAGACCCCGGGCGTCGTTACCCAGGACGCAAATTAAATGTCAATGTCGACATATTTTTGACATATGTCCCGGGAATCTCGTTGTCGTTGAGCTTTTATGTTATAAATTACGCTCATCTAGTAGAAAAATCGACGCCGATGATCCTCTCTTCTCCGCACACACAAAAGAGACACTCGAGATGTAATTTAAAAGAAAAAGAACTACTATCTGAAGAAACGATCGAGGAAGAACAAACGTATACACACATATCGCGTTATAGAGCATGATAGTTTAATTCTCAACGAAAACCACGGCCTATTTTTATACACTTGACTATAAAAGGTAACAACAGACCAGATACCGTATTTCTCTTTATATCATATTTTAGCTATATAAAAAGTAGATTTCAGGAAAACACCGGGGATAAAATTCCAGTTCCATCCGGCGACGATTCCGAATCCGTCGAATTCGCATCAATTATTTCAATGACCGTATATAAATACCTCTCAAGGATATAAGACGGTTGCTTTCATCTCTTTCTCTCGAGCCGGACGATCTCTGTGGAATTCCATGATGTTCTCCGTGTTACGCGGCGAAGCTTTAGCTCTTAAAATTTCGATAAATCCGCTCGAAATATTCTATCTCGAACGTGCGAGGATTATCTTTTTTTCTTCTCTACGTATATGTTGCCGTATTATTCCGGATAAGAAAAACGAGAGGGAACGTCTCGAGATCAAAACGTGTCTCAGCGATGCGTTGGACGTTGGGCGGAATGTTGACTGTTGCCATGCTGATGATGCGGCTGATGATGGAGGCCGATCAGGTGCGGGTGAGGATGCTGCGGATGAATCGCCCCGTGGTGAGTCCTCGGCGGCGTGCCCGAGCGTCTGGACGGAGCGCCGCTCCGCGTCGACGTCGGTGTCGATGTCGGGGTTGGTGCCGGAGTCGCCGTCGGCGTCGGGGTCGGCGACGGCGTCTCGTCGCCCAGCACGTCGATCTCGTCGTCGTCCTCGTCGTCGGAATCTGCGGGCGCGTCGCTGCTCGCGCGCGATTCGCGTCCGCCGCTCAGCGAAAAATCTACCGGACGTTCTGTTGACACAAATCATTATCGATCAGGGTTTTTTAAGACTCTCATCCGTTCACAGACTCGGGAAATAAAGATTCATATATAATCCAATATAAATATATATATAATTATATATTAAATATATATAATCATATATAAATTTATATATGATTATATATGGGAACTTTTTTATTTCTTCAAGTTTTATTTTTTCTAAAAAAACCAATGTGAAGTCTATTCTTCTGATTATTTTTCAATTATTCTCTTTATCACTTTTCCTATATATACAGACAGAGATTATGCCGGAGAAAGAAAACATATAAATACATTTTTTATATATAATTAATGCTTCGCCAATGTATCTTTGCGATTCCATTTATTTTGCGCTAAAGGATGGTCGCTCTTGTTCCCTCGAAATTTGAATAAAAATCAGATCCGCGCCTACGTCATCGCCTACGGCCTACCGATAGCCCTTAACAGCGAACAATCGAGAATATAGAGATCTGACCGAGCACTTAGCGGGTAATTGAGCAATTTTCTCCAAGACAGGGGTGTAGGAAGCGAAACGAGACGGGAAGCGAAAGAGAGAACGTCGCCGAAGGAGGGAACGAATCTCTCCCGGGGTTCCTTACATAGCCCAGGCCCAGTCTAAAGACGCCGAGGCGGTCTTGTACGTGCACTTGTACCACACCATCCCTCCTTCTCCACGATATCTCTCCTTCTTGGTCGCTGCCAAGGAGACGTCTATGTAACTCGGTTAGCCCACCCCCTACCGAAGAACGGAGCCATCTTGTCTACCGAGACGAACAACTTTATATAGCGTACAGAATGCTACGCGCGGGTCAAACTATTTAAATCGCTCGAAATGATATCTCGTGCGCGCGGTCTCGTTAAACGATCACTTTTATATTCCAAAGGATAAAAAGAGAATAAAAAAAGAAATAGATATATATATATATACATATGTAATTGCTACAACAGCAACTCTCGACGAAACTCTCCTCCGCGAGTTTGTAACATTTGCGATGCGTGGGCGTCATGCCGGACGAGCGATTACAATAATATTCCCGGAATGCGACACGCATTATTACGCAGGTATACGGTTAATGATTATAGTTCCTCGCGACGTAACCACGGTTACGGTCTGGCTAGTTAAGCCAGAACTTGCGTAATTTATTGTCAGCGGTATTTTGGTTGCGTTATATGCAGATATCCGCCCCATTAGCGTGACAACGGGGAAGTATTTAACGACAACCGACCGTTATAACGCGCGGCCGGTCCCCGGGACCAGATTAACCGATAACTACGGTTTATTAATCCCCGACGCAGCCGCGTCTGCGTATCGACTCGATCCGTAGTTTGTTTAACATTTCGAGTTACATATATATATATGCACATAGCTCTACCCCTCTCCTCCATGTATATGGCTACTATTACTATCGCTATTAATACGTATACCGAATATCCGACATTACGTTGTCGAGGATTATGTGCGTTTTACGCCAATCTCATAGCGCAACTCGTACAAGTGACGTATGAGCGTTACTCTTATATATATATAATTTTTTATCATAGGCAGCGCAGCCATTCATAAATTCGCGCTTATCTAGGACATAGTGTCATTAATCCAAATCAATTGACTCGCGGCGCGGGAATATATTGCTCGCAGCTGTTTATCGAGAGGTCGATACGCGCAGATTTAATTTAGCGACTATTAAATTACACGTTGCAGAAATTCCGCAGATACCGATGATTGCGGCGTCTCTTGTCGCAAAGCATTATCGTTTTATAAGCGCCTCGTTCAAACTTATACTTTGCTCTAAAATCGCGTTTGTATATGCGATGTAATTGTTGTATTTCCGTTGTATTTAATTTTGTCATCTGATTCTAATTTTCGTTGCGCTGGAAATTCGAATAACGTTTTTGCAAAGCTTGATCGGACGTCAAGACGAAAAGAATGGATGCAACTTACCAGCAGGCGATGTAACGGATATCGATTGTTGTCCCGAATTGGAATTGCTCCCGCTGCTTATGCTCTGTTTCCTCAATTGCTTCTTATGTTTCATCCGTCGATTTTGGAACCACGTTTTCACCTGAGTCTCGGACAGGTGTAACGCGGCCGCGAGCTCTACTCTTTCGGGCGTGCTCAGATATCTCTGTACCTCGAATCTGGCTTCCAAACCTGCCAGTTGTTGGTCGCTGAACACCTAAAATTTTAAGAAATTGTAGTTTCTTATCTCGATGCAATTAAGAGAGAGAGAGAGAGAGAAAGAGAAAGAGAGAGAAAGCGTATATTTATTTAAAGCGCTCTGGGACGATATCCCCTCAAGCGCACCTAAGACAAGAAGTACAATTAAAATATGTAAATATATACATGTGTATCATTTTTGACATGTAAGTATGTTCTCGTATATGTATATATATAAATATCTGAGTATGTACGCGAATGTATCCAGTGAAAAATATGTGTACGTGTAAGAGAGAGAGAGAGAGAGAGAGAGACAAGTTGCAAAATAATATACGAATTCACATAAAATCAATTTATAGCTTCGATTCACACCTTCAGCTGCTTCAGAGTGAACAATAATTGATTGCTGGATCAATTTAGAGCTGCCGGAGTTAATGGAAATTGATGTAAATTTTGGATTCTCATTTTCGTAAAATAGAAAAGATCGATCTGCGAAGAGTCGAATCGATGAAGAAGATATACTCACGGTTCGAGCTTTTCGTCGCCGACAATGCTTCAAGGCCGCTAGCTCCCCGACCCCCGGTACCACGCCGACTCCCATACCGGCGCTACCGAAGAGCGGACCCAGGAAGAAGGCCGCCGCAGCGGGCGGCGCCGCGGGATAACCGGGTAACAGACTGGCAAACTGCTGATATTGATGATGCTGCCCGTGTGCGGAAGTCGATGTCAGATGATGCTGATGATGCAATTGATGATGATGCGGATGATGGGGAGTGACGGTGCCGCGACTAAGGATATCCTCGATGAGGAACGACGTCCTGCTGGCGGAGGTTCCGTTCTGACCTGGTTGTGCTTGTTGCTGCTGGCAGGTGGAAGACTGCATCTTCCCTTTCTCGTGCTCTGTACGCAACTCTGTACGCGATTAGGGCGGATGTTTCGCGATTACATCCTCGCCACAATCTTGTAATCAAAGCGAAATCTTCGCACTATCTCAAAGTAAGGCAGATGAAGAAAAATGTGTCACTTTCTCGAAACCAGTCACTCTCTTTTCGTGCACGTCGGGCTATAATGCACGCGCGCACACCTCAGCCTAGTTGGCTAATTTAGGCGGCGTTCATCTCGCGAAAATCCCGAGGTCGAATTGATCGCCGTGAGATCAAAGCACGAATCGCGAGAGACTCACCAGCCCGTTCACTGTCGTTCGCCGACAACGTTAAGGGTCGCGTATCGGTGCGCTCGCGGTACGATTTCAACCCCCTGTGCGCGATCATCGCCCCTCCCGTCCCTCCCGCCGAGGAAGAGGGTGAAGGCTTCAAGTCTATCAGAGGCCTGGCGTCCCCGCATTGGCCGGCGTCGCGACGCTCGTCGTCGCTCTGGGTTGGCTCCGCGCTGTACCCGGGGCGGGACTTGGCCGCGCGTTTCCATGGACACGGAAGCTCCAGAGTATTCATGAATCCGACGTTGTACGTCCCCGCGAGGACGGGAAGAGGCTACGGAGGAGGAGGAGGAGAAGGAGGAGGAGGGGGTGGTACAGATCGTTCTGTATCCGTGCGATTTTCTCTCTCCATTCTATCGTTCACCCCAACACGTAGATAATAATGCAAGAGTACGTGTAAGAGTGTACGTTCCCCGAAAACCATCCACTCGCCTCTCCGATGGTGCGTCCATCCGTTGTACGTTTCGCGACGCGACGCGACGAGACGACTCTCGCGTGTACATGTCGAAAAGGATCTCTCTGTTTCCGTTTCTTTGTACATGGTACGATAGACAAAGTTCCACAATCTCTCGAGTGTTTTGTATTTTTTTACTCGCCCGCGGTTGGTGAAAATATCGTGAAATGCGGCGTCGAATCTCCTTGATGTCTTGTTATCGTGCGTCGCGTCGCATCATCGAACATGACCAAATCCTTCGATCGATATCGATATCGAATCTTGGACGAACGGGGAGAAGCGCTGGATTAAATTACTTATCGGATCATGTATATACGGCGCGCTCTCTCCAAATGGCGATACAACCTACGCGCTACGTCATCTTCGTATAGTAGACGATAAACAACACGTACAAACAATGCGAGTTTAATAGAGAACAATGATAGCACGCGCTCTATTCAATTATCGTCTGGAAATAAACGTATATAATAAACACAGTACGTAATAAACACAGCGTGAAAATATTAAGGAAAAAAATGGAAAAAAGAAAAATGCAAAAGGAGGAAAAGGAGATGAGCGAAAAGAGGGTACCTCTTTATTACTTATACTTTAGCGGTCGCGTTAATCTCGATCGGGCTCTCTCCGAATCTCCAACACAAATGTCGTACTATCGCGACAACGACGAGAGCCGGGGTATGATTAGGGTTCGAGGGACGCGTGTCGACATTTAGACGGGGTTGCTCCTGCGATTATTGAGTAAATTAACGTCGCGGTAATTGCGTTACCGGCGCGTGTCCATCCGTCCGCTCGGCGTCGCGTCACCTCGCCCTCATCCCGTAGCTCCCTTTCCCCCCTCCTCTCCGCGCATCTATACTACTGTGGCAGAGCCGCCCTCCGGCTAGCTCGCTTGTAAAGCCGAAAATCCATCGTGTCCGAAGTTTCGACGGAGGCTCGAGACACGTCCTTTTGCTTGGCTCTCGTGGATCCTCCAGGGACTCGTTAGATGGAAAAGAGCGACACGCATTGATTTTCAGGTTGTTTATTACATAAAGCCGTAATAAATTCTACGCGTTTCAATAATGCGCTCATTAGAACGGAATATACGTGTATATATGCACTCTCTCGATGATTATATGATTGAGAGATTTATAGCTTAATGAACTAAATACAAAAGACATTTGAAAAAACTATATTATTAGACTAGACTAGATATTCTCAATGCATATACATGTGTCATATGTACTACGAATTCCGCTGCTGTTTGACGATAAATATAAATCGCATCTTGCGCTGTTAATGTTTAAAAAAATATAACAGAGATTTTTTCTTATCTACCTTAACCATGTTAATGGATATGTGGGGTTATCAAATGTCATCGTCGTTGGAAGCGCGCTTGTAAAAAGCGCGCGAGAAGCTGGCGGGACCCTGCGAACCGCAGAAGAAGAAGCCGCGTCGCCAGAAGACGAAGAGCGCCATACCGAGCGGAATCGCGAAGAGCAGGCCGATCAGCATCCCTACGAGTATCGCGGCATCCTTCTCTGGTTGCGCGTCGTACAGATCCAAGCAGCGTAGATGTCGTTCGGCCAGGGAAGCGAGCCTCTTACCCGCGTGTTCCGGCGGCGCGGAACAGGTGAGCTCGCCTACTTCGGCCGTCGCTTTCTGTTTTGCCGCGTATTCCGGCAATATGGTCCCGATCTGTGAGAGGAAGAGATTCGTCTTCGTTAGTCGTCGAATTTAATTTAATCGCGCACAAATTAGTTTGTCATCCAGCAAATAAAAACATTTCTCTTCCTCTGTCGATTTTTTTTTCACGATCGCTTAGAGTCAATTATAAATTCATGGCGTACGATCAATACTTGGCATTAATCACATTTATGTTTTTAATCACAATAATGTTTAATAATTGCTATTTTTTTTTTTAAGATAAGTTTCTATTGATACTTGGCATGCGTTTAGAAAGATTTTTTTTCGCGATTCCGTCAGGACTTACCAGATATTGATTGCGGCAATCGCAACTCCAAGGGTTATGCATCAGATGCAATTCCTCGAGTCTGTCCCATCTGTCCAAGAATAACACCGGCAAGTATCGTAGCGCGTTAGACGATAGATCCAGTTTCTTTAACAACGGCCACGACTTCCCTTCGGCTGTCTACAAAATTGCAGATAATTCTCATATTATTAATTTGTCGCATATATCTCTTTCCGACTAATTATGTTTGATATACCGAAATCGCAATCGCGTAATCCTCGATCACTTCCAATTTCTTGCAGTTTCGCACGCGGAGATCTTCCAGGCCGATTAACGCTGATAAGCCGCCATTTCTAATCACTGTTAAACTTGACATGTCGCACAGGCTGAGCTCCCGTAGTTTCGTCAAGTTGGGAAAAGCGTTCGCGCTATCGATAACATGTATCGGATTGTCGTCTAAACTTAGGTATTCCAAGGCCCCGGCCTCCTCTAATGGCCTGGGCAAAACCGCGAGCTCGTTGCCGGCCAAGTTTAATCTTTTTAAATATCTACGATCAAAAACAAAAAACGGTAAAATATTGAGAAATATTCAATTTTAAAAATAGTGATTTTACAGAATAAAAAAACCATCGACACACACACACTCTCTCTTTCTCTGGCGTAATGAAACTACGCGTTTCCGTATTTCTTACTTGGCGTTGTGGAATTGAAGATTCGGTAGTTGCTTCAACTGACAATAACTGATATCTAATTCCCGCAAGTACGACAAGCTACTAATAGCTATAGATGTACGATAGTCGAATACGCCAAAAGGATTCCCGGAGAGATTCAACACCTCGATGTCGGCGATGTGCTCGAATACACTCTGATGTAACCAGTGAAGTATGTTATTAGCCAGGTTCAATACTTTTAACGGTAAAGGCTCGTACGCTTCTGGCTTGAACTGACCCTAAAATGGAAATAATAATCTCGTCTAGGATAAACGGATAGAAAGACGGAAAAGAATGGAAGACGAGAAAAAAGGGCAGAAGTCTTTTCGGCGATTTTTCATAAAATAATTAAATAATCTATTTCAGCATAAAAATAAATATAATCACATTTTTATCGGCTTTATTTCTATTGAAAACCTTCGTAATATATTACTGCTATATCTCTATCGATTCTGAAACTATGAACTATTATCTTATCAAATTTGAAGAATTTAGGAAAATTTTTGATATTGCATCAATTTCTCGTAAATTTACTTTATCAATTTAAGCCGAATGCAAAAAAAGCTACGTTTATTATTTTCAACTGAATAATTTATTTATGCTTGTTGATGGTATATTTTAAAAATGTAATCGGAAAAAAAGGAAAAAAATTTTACTGCTATTCAAAACGATAAAATTAATCATATCGTACATCTGAATCTGGTATAAAATTTACGAATAAAATTAAAAGTTTTCGTCAAAAAGTGTTTGTTGCTAATCGATGAATCATAATCAGAGGAAAATTCCGTTCGTCTCTTCCTGGATTGGTATTAATGTACTAACTTGCGATACTATCTCTTGTTACCTCGAAAATGTGCGGCCGTAGCTGTTCTGACGTGATCTGGTTATTACTCAGGTCCAATTCGGTAAGATTAACGAGCTCCTTAAAAGCGTGACGATCGATCGTGACGATTTGATTTTTTCGTAGAATTATCTTGTCGACGATTATCGTTGGGAAAGCCGTGACATGTACCAAGCGGTTTTGCTCGAACGAAATCTCTTTAGCCGTTACGTTCACCCACTGTCTATCCTCAAAGTGATTTTCCAAATTTCGGTTACTGCAGTTTACATAGCCATCTAAACATATGTAGCGTTTTTACATAATTGATAATATAATTATTAATTTTTTTAGCACTGCAAGCCAATTTAAAACAAGCTTCGTCCATTATTTGGAGCGCATAAAATGGAATATTATTTTACTTAAATGTCACGTGAAACGAAATTCCGAATAACAGAATTTCGACGTTTCGACTACCTGTACAAGCGCACACGGTGCATAAGATCGCTGGTTCCGGCGTAGAATTTTCAATCTCATTCTCATTCGTATCTGCAGTCGCGTTTTTTATAATGGTGTTCTCGCACTTTGCTAGAAGAAATAGCGCGAGTAGAGGAATCGATATTTGAAGATCCATCCTTATAGCGGAAGGATGACAACTGTAAGTTCTCTTTAAACGGTGTTAACTGAAACTGGCCCGACCGTATCTATACGCGACTTTGCGTACGATAACAAAGTATAGCGATAAGATAATGCTCGTAATTACTCATCGCTCGAGGCAGGTGAGGGAAACGCCGAGAAATAGCTCTCCTCTCGATAATATCCAAGTCGTAAAGCGGTGATTTTATACTTTTATAACAGCGCTAATCATGCCATTTATATTTATGAAGTATCCTAATATGTATACTTATTATTGTTGTTTTATATATCGATAAATATCTTGTATAATAGAAATAAAAAATATTTCTTACATATACGATGAGCAAAGCGAGAAATCTATTGGCGAAACATCTAATGGGATTACATATATTTTTCAAAGTGATTCTTTCGAATAATTAATCGCCAGTTGAGAAATCGTAGTCGGTTGAAGTGGCGATCGATCGCTATCGAAGAAAAAGTGGCGCTTCAATGTCAAAGTGGTTATCAGTGGCATCTTCAGCATCTTCGTGAAACTCGAGACAACTGATAAACTACATTACCGTCCGTCATCGAAAATTGTACGAAAAAATATATGTATTTATATATAATTATTACATATGTTGCGCGTTTTATTAATATCTTTAGAGAAAAACAGAAGAGAAAAATCATTATTTATAGCTTTGACATTTTCTCTATAAAATGCTAATTATTTATTTTGGCTAATACACATACCTGCATAAATAACAACTGATATATATCCATCTATAACCTATAATATCTAATCATATTGTTCGGAATCTACAAACCTAAATATGTCAAGTCCTTAGTTCCAATTCATCAGAGATATCTTTTACTTAGTAGTTACGTGCGCGAAAGTAGAGAAGAAATAGAAGATAAAGTAAAATGGAATGAAATAACATGAAAATAACGAAATATATTCAAGGTAAAGTGGATTCGAAACGTACGCAGGACGTAGGAATGCGGGGCACGCGTGGCGCCATCTGTCGCGCGACAGAAGGCATCCCGATAGAGCGCCGCCGCGGCGGCGGCGAGAAACCTTCGCGAAAAGTATTGAATCGGTGACGTCACAAAAGACGAGACGGTGGAAGGAGGCGGACGGGGTGGACGGTCGCGCGTTGAAAAATGTCCGGTTACTTGAATTTATCGTTTACGTGAACAGAGAGTGAGCGTGGTAAACACGAGACTCGCGAACGACACCGGCGTGCGAACCGGCGAGTGAATCCCACGAGACGGACGTCGTCGTTCCCCGGGCACGTGTAGTACGCGGGAGGAAACCAAGTGCTCGGAGTCGCTCTCGACTCCTGTGACGGTTCGATATCGCATCGCATCGTAAAGTTGCGATAAAATAAAACAAGGCGAACGCGGGCGCGCGCGCGGACGTATCGCGCCAAGAGTGCCGAGGATCGGAGGGAGATCTCTCACGATCTGTCACGGTAAGATAACGGCGATATTTATCCGATCCCATTCGACTCGAATTTCGAGATTCGTCGGCGAATCGCTCTCCCGTCGTCGTTCCGTTCGCGAGGAGGTTAGGTTCGCCCCTCGTTCCTTTTCTCGGCAAGTCTCTTTTACTCCCTTTACGCGTGCGGGGAGTGAACGCCCATTTTTTTCGAAGGGATTTTCGAATCGCGCGTGTACGCGAGCCCTCTCGCCATCGTCGTCCTCGCGTTTCGTTCTCCCGGGATCGCCGCGGTTACAAATGCACATTCTCGTTGTCAGATAGAGATCCGAGGATTTGTTTGGTGATGGAAATTCTACCGAGTTATATACCCTTTAATCTATCGTTAAAGGATAGCATCTTCCTCGCGGGATATTGTCGCGTCGCTGATGTTCGCTTATGATGTCGCACTTTAACTCGCGATGTTTTTTATCCAAATTTCATTCCCCGGGCTCTCTCTTTCGGATAACATAGAAAGAGATGCGACGCAAGGTGAAAAATTTTCGTTTTCGAATTTCTAGGAACGTGTGTATATAAACATGAATATATATATATGTCGAATGTATCGCTCCATATATAATCAACCTTCGTGTCGTTCGACATTTTTGTATGAGAAACGACGAAGAGCCTTCGAGCAATCTTGTTTGTTAAATACGGGTCGGCACAGATGTTACTCCGATAAAATCTCTTTCGAGTCAGCTGATGACTTTTTGATGTACGTTTAATCATACTCTTGCGACATACGCGTTGATTTTTCCGAGATTTCGTTTAAATGTAATAGTTACGAGAAATGCATCGTTCAGGTTCCTCTCGCGACGATCATAGAAGGAGAGAGAAAGAGAGAGAGAGAGAGAGATTATCCTTATTAGTTATCGAACGAGAAATGACAAGTTGGGTAGAGAGACGAGGCGAGGAGAGGAGGCGCGGTCTCCGCTTCCGCGAGTGTAACATCCGTAGGGCGTGTGTTTTAACTATACGACGACTTTTTTTCCCCGCTCGTGCGCGGGCCATCGAGTTGCGTAGATCGCGCGCAACTCGACGAAGGAGAGGTTAGGCCTCAGTCGATGATCGACGGGTAGTAAACACGGTGCCGGGCGCCGCGTCTCCTCCGCCGATTTTTGCGCAGCGAGAATAGACACGTGCTACGCGATTGACATACAATTATACACAATCGAAACGCGTAATAAAAATCGGCCGCTTGTTCCTTTTTTTCTTTTTGCTTTTTTTTTTTTTTTTTATACCGTTGCGATTCAAATCGCGCTGAATCACATGGTAAAAATTTCTTTTTTTTTTTTTTTTTTTTTTTTTTTTTTTTTTTTTTTTTCCTCGAGAAGCTCACGATAAGATTGAATGAAACGCGCTCGAGAATCTACCTCTCGATTCTCCAGAGAATGACGATGCGAATCCGAATAACGATCTCACTTTCGAGATAAATATTTACCTCTCTTTAAAATTTTCTTTTTTTTTTCTTTTTTATCGAATTTTTTAATCGAATATGTATCGCATTGTCTGTGTTCCAAGAGAACTAGTTTAGAAAATATTTTCATTGTCGGAATATATCTCGCTCGAGATTGGGGAAAAATACAAATGCGATTTTCCGAAAGTTTAGTCTCGTTTTTTCCCAAAGGCATTATTTATTCACGTCGAAAGAGATATGTCGTCCGAAATCGATGGAGGCCCCTAACGCCGATGGCGCCGATGCTGTCTAATGATGACATTTAAATGCGGTGCCGCATCGTTCGATTGTTCGCGCGGCGCGGGTATAGGATGCGATGAGGCTATTTTTTTTCTTTTTTTTTTATTTCTTTGTCTTTTTGCGCTTCCTTTTCCTCCTCCGTTTCTCACACACATTAAAGCCTCACATCGCGAATTAGAAATATTTATGACGATAGAGATAAAAAAAAAAGCTCGATAATTCTATAGCGATTTTGCCTTTTCTCAGCTCATCGTCTCAGATTAAGCGGTCTTGACGAGGATCTGGGAACGAGAGAATGAAGATTGCCAAGGGGGAATGATAGGTAAGAGCACGCTTAAAAGGAGAGACGACGACAAGATCGATGTCGATTAGAAGAGTGACGAATCCGCGAAAACGTGCGACAGGATGCAAGAGGGTAACACCGCCGTTGCGCTAGCGATGGTGACTCCCGGATACGATCAGGACCCTGCGAGTGGGGTCGCCGACTATACGACTCATCAAGATCAGGCCCAGTTCGAGGCTGACAAGAGAGCCGTGTACAAGCATCCGCTCTT